CTGAAGCCAACTCGATACAGTTGGGCCCCGGGGTAAGGCAGTTGCGCCTCCTTCATCAAGGCCTGCGGCCAGATTCAGACAGTGGGCCGATTTCCCTTTGGCATTTTCGGCCTCTCTTCCCAGCATGCATTGTCGGCCTCACGTTCAGATGCCCAGGGCCTAACCAACTCAGAGGCCCTGGGCTTTCAGCATTTGCTGAAATCCGAGACTCGGTGCACTCCAACCAACTGGCGTGCTGCAACTGTATGAATCCCACTTCGTGAAATGTTGCACAGAGGGCTCTTGTCGATTTGCTGGCCCGCCTTCACTTAGGGCGGGCACTAGGCTTGCTGGGGCCTTAGCCCAGAACATGTACTTCATGGCAAGGCCCCTACTTGAGGGCTCAATCCTCACAAATGTTGCAGCCTTGCAGGTAATAAATAGTTCGGAATGTACGTTTCCATGTGGTTGCAGGTACAAGAATGATCCAGAGATTCTGGCAATGACTAATCTAGTCGCGGCTTATCAAAGGAATGAGATTCTGGAATTTGAGAAAATCTTGAAGGTAAGAGTTTGCAGCTTTGGTCATTGCACAAGTGGTTAACGGGGACCCCCACTTTCAGCTCCTCAGTGAACGGGCTTGAAACTGAAACTAGGGTTTGGGGTTCAAATTTCATGCTTTATAATTTATTGATTATTTTGAAAATTTCTCCCTGTTTTTGGTTAAAGGTTGACGTGTGGCAAATTTGGTCTCATTTGGAGCATTGGAAATTCCTCTGCTGAGACTTCCGAAATTTCTAAAGATTTCTGAAATTGGAATGTTGGCGAAATTTTGCATGAAACTTTATGAACGTGCACTTTTGCCGTGCTGTTTTATAGTTTTTTTTTTTGTCTTTTTTGCACTGTAGTATGGTCTCTACTCTATGAGTCGGTGGCAAGTTTGGTTAAAATGACCCTTGGGTTTTGTTATAAATGGCATGACAAATTGTCTGAAAGTTTAGGCCTCCGTTAACCTGCTCTGGGCCCGCGAGTTCAAAGCGCCAAATTTCACAGATTTTCACACTCAGTAGATTGCACAGAAAAATCTCAAGATTTGGGGCCTGGTCGACTAGGTCCTCTGGCAGATTTTCACACTCAGAAGAATGCACAGAAAAATCTCAAAATTTGAGGCCCTGTCGACTAGGTCCTGAACCGTGCACTTGCATGCTGGAGATCTCTGCTTTGCCTGCATGGCTGCTGTGTTTTCTGTAGCTATGTTACTGCCACGAGTGTCTCCAGCTTAGCTGTTTGCAGACATGAAAATGAACGTGGTAGACAGAGGATTAGTATGGGGTATGAAGGTGTGACAGTCAAGCTACATCGGTCTGTTGCAAGCTGAGGGTCAAGTGCATCAATTGTGGACCATGGATGTGCATGGTGGAGATCACAACATGTTTCGTTGATTTTGGAAGAGTTCCTGAATGCACTCCGAGAGATTGCGCACCGATTGTTTATGATTGGTCTATTATCTTTCTGTAATTGATCGCTCTTCAGGCCAAAGAATTCTGTGGTCTCATGCAGGATGCATTATTCTTACAAACACTTCTCACAATTATCATGTTCTTTGAAGTGGGGGGTGGGGGGGGGGAGGGGGAGGTGTGCTTTCGTGTCACTTGGCATTCATTCTTGGGTTTGATGGATGCCCAATCTATTTTGGGGGCAATGCTGTCTATGTGAGAAACTACAGAGTAACAGAAGGACAATCATGGATGATCCATTTATTCGGAATTACATTGAAGATCTGCTGAAGAATATCCGTACCCAGGTGCTGCTCAAGCTCATCAAGCCATACACAAGGATCCGAATACCATTTGTCTCCAAGGTAGGCCTGGAAATTCACATTTTGTACCCTCGTCCAATGCATGGTCGGAATCCTTGTTTGAACAAGTGTGTGCGATAGTGGAATCCAGGACCCACCTGTCTGCTTCCCTTCTTCCCCCACATCACCACCCCACATCACCACCAAGACTGGATGAATACACGAGTAACTTTCCTTTGGTTGCAACTATACTAAAAGGGCCTTTTACCCGATACAGGCCTCATGAAAGTAAAGCAGCATGAAAGGGTATCTCGCCAGGACCCAGAAACGTGAAAGCAGGTCAAAGGTCAAGTTCTCTAGCAAGGGGCACATCCTAAACTAAAGGTCATTGCAGCAAGACATACCTGTTCACCAGGAGATGCACACATCATGTCTGTTCCGATAAGGGTATGTCTGTACGTGCAGTCAGTCTGTCTGTTCGTGCGAAAGGAAGTGTCTATTCGCACAATGTGATTGTTTGTTCAGGCAGTAAGTGTGTCTGTTCGTCTAAGTTGTGCCTGTCCGAAAGTAAAGCCAATAACCAGAGTCCCAGTTCTGGTCTGAGTCTCAGGGACAGTCCAGATCCAGACATCCAAGTCCAAATCTAGGCCGAGAGGCCTCAGCAGCAGTTGAACTTCATTGGGACAGTACTGGGACACATGCAATGCAGGGTCTGGGACAAAGGAAGGCCTGAAGTAGCCAAATGCAGACCCAGCGAGGAGAGGCCAGCACTATAAAGGAAGCAGCCAGCCTCATTCCTCGCCAGATCTCCACTGGCTTCAATGCGTGGAAGTGCTGTTGTGCTTGTGCGCCAGTCAGTAGGAGCAGCGCTGGAGGAGAAGATGCGCTAGACAAAGACTGTGCGCTGGAAGGGATGCAGCCATAGCTGCCCAGCGAGTTAGTAGTAGTGTAGAGGGTTAGTAGTTAGCTATGAGTAGCATTCAGAGTAGATCCTTGTGAGTGAAGAGTGTGTATGCATCGTAGGAGGAAGGGACCGAGACAGAGAGAGTGCTCAATCAAGGTTTGGCTATGAAGGATACTTACCTGAGTGGGACATGCGCTGCAGAGGAGGTGCTGATGAGTAGTGACCACATTGATGACCAGGATACCATCTGCAGAAGTAGCGCTGATGTATGGAAGTCACAGTGATGAGTTGATGCTGGATATGCATTGCGCTGTTGAGCGCTGGACTCGGGGAACTATGAAACTCTTTGTAAACATATTTTTGATAATATAAGCTGTGCAACTCGGTTCTCTTCTCCTTTGTCTAATGTGTGAGACGCTTGATTGTTGTGTGCAAGGACGATGCATGACATGTACACACTTGTGTGAGTTGGTCTCCAGGACCCATGCAATACCTTTAATGGCGTTTCATCACGAGTATTTACAGTTTGACCGTCTGTGTTGGAGCACGGTATTTGAGTGGTGCAAGGGTGTTCACAGTGGCACTGCCGTTGCCGTGTGGGGTTTCATGGCACGTGCCTGTTTTTTTTTTTCTTTCTTGGTTCTTTATAAAAAAGGTCCAGGGTGTAGTAGAGGGTGGTTGCCAAGCCTCAGGAGGTGCCTGTAGTATTCATCCATTGGGAGGTCAAATGGATTGCGAGGACCCAAGGGGAGTCACCTGGAGGATGGTACCATGGACTATGACCTATTCTCCTGCTCAGATCGCAAGTCGTGATCTGCGCCAATGCTTACCGACTAACCCGAATGTCTTCGTGCACACCCTACCCTAACTCTAATGTTAAGGACGACCCGGGCACAGGTGGGGTCCATGCATATGTAGTCATCCCCCATCTGTGCCTCATCCCGCAGACTCTATGGGCAGCAAACTGACCTTCCACTAAGATGTGATATCCCACCTCCCTTATCCTAAGTATGATGCCTTCCTACCCCAGGCTCCCCGAGAATGTAAAGTCCCAACCTGTGTGTCTGAAATTAGATTCGACGAGGGTTCCACGTTGAATGATTCAACGGCCGTTAAATTCCGTTGATTTGAGGTTTAAAGTTTAAACGCCAAAGCAACGGGTTCACTGGGCCCCGCGAGTATTTTTTTTTGTGGGCCAGGTGGTCGATTGTATCGAAGCATTTGGACCTCCGGAAAAAAAAAACAATAAAATGGGGTTGTAGATCTTTTTGAGGACTACAACCTCATGTTTTTATTTTCATTTTTTGAGCTTTGACTATATTTAAAAAAAATCAAAAGCATAAACACGATGAAAAAAAACAAAAACAAAAGATGAAATGAATGTTTTTTTTTTTTTGGTTCATAGATTTTTTTGAAGGACTAAAAAAAAAGCAGAAAATAAAAATAAAAATATAGGGTTATAGATCTTTTAAAGATGTACAACGGCATATTTTTTATTTTTTTTTGAACTTCATGCAAGGAATAAACAATATACAGAAAGCCAAGTTGTGAAATCACACAGATGTCCAAGCGGTCGTGTACAAGCAGAGAGCACAAATGCACCGAGATTCCATCCAAATAAGAGCAATACAATGGAGTCATGAGCCAATGTTCAAGCCCTCAGGTCACACCAACACAGTATCCAATGTCGCTCCTCTCTGTCTGGCGCCCAGCGCCCAGCCTTCACTACTCGCCTATCCTACCTACATCAGCATTCATGCAACGGGCTCGCTTGGACTCTTGAAGACCAATGTTCATGACGTCAACACCATAGCTGACCTCTCTCATGTACCTCCCCTCATCAGACCCTGACCACCACACTTGCCTCCTTCCTGAAGACCACAGATCGCCCTCTTACCCCGGCGCGCCCTGCAGCCTGGCTATGGCTGCTAGCGCCCCTCTTCACTGCACAAGTGCCTGCACGCGCCCTGGTCGCTAACGCAGCATGCAGCCTCTCGCCCAGCAACGCAGCAGTGTGACCACAATGCTTGCGTGGGCCAGAATGCCTGACCCTGGCTGCCTCTCTTCCTATATGGAAGTGGCAGCCCCTGGTCGGCTGTGTGAGGGCCTGGCCGAGAAGCATCCAGTAGCTTCCGGTCTGGCCCGGGTGCCTGTGCCCAGACCCAGCCTTGCAGTTGAGGCCCTGGGACTCGTACAGTTGGGCACACCCCGCATTTCCAGACTTCGGCAGTTTGCTGTATCTGCACAGGACCTGGGGTATGGACGTCGACAATGCTGCTTTTGCGTAGGCCCTTAGACACTTTGTGATGTATCGGCCCTGCATTGTGTGTATGTGCCTAGGTGCAACTACCAGTGCCTGGGCCAAACTGTACGATGCAGCTTAGGGAGGCTCACGTTTCCTGACCTCCCGAAGCCAAGGGATTAACCAATTCCTTCTTCGCTGTTCTCATTCCGTGGCACTTCCTCGCAAGGAGCCCTTTCCTCATCCATGGCACTTTCGAAACTTCCCTTGTTGTCAGTTTCCAGCGTCCCGTCCTGTTGGCCCACCTGTTCAGAGCCTGTCCCCCCATCCCACCTCAGCTTATCACCCGCTCCCCCAGCCCTTCAATTCCATAGTTGAAGGCGGATACAGCTTGCTGGGACGGGCCAGGGAGAGGGACAGGGACAATTACCATCAGATTGTTGATGCCCCTGATATTTTTTCACAGTAACATGTATCATGAACACATAAGTTCCAAACCTATGCCCCTATGGCCGTGCTGATCAGCAATTCCATCGCCATAGCTGTTTTGCTCTTTCTTACGGTCTTTGCTGTGTCCTTCCACTCTCGCACCGGTTTGTTGATCTTGATGGCTCTCCCCTATGTTCTTTCTTTTTTAGCCAAGATTTCCTGCTTGGTTTCATATTCCTACCTGCTGTCCTGGTCTGGTTTCCAGCAGAGGTTGAAATTCCAGTGGGCTGCGCCTTCAGGGACACACTCCGTGGTAGAGTGGTGTTGTCCACATGCCTGAATATGTCAGTGGGTTGGGCTGTTTTTTGGGGTGTACTCTTTAGGGATGTTGTTGTTCGATAGATTTGTGCCGTCAATCTGAATCGCTGTGGATGGGGCTGAAAGAGACATTTATCATGTCTGGTATGCACGGCTCCCACACAGGCCCCTCTGAGGCCCGACACTGGGTAGGGAGCTCGGGTTAGGGGCTCAGAGGTATTTGTTCCTTTTTGGGGATTGTGACGATTGTCATCATTGTCTGCATTTTTTAAGGGTTAATGTTTGTCGAGTTCTCATTGTTTGTCTGTTCTCACTCTTTTGTCTGTTCTACAGATTTTACCGAAATGATGTTTTTTCAACTTTTTCAAGTTTTTGTTCCAATTTGTTGCATATTTTTTGTGCAATGTGGCATACTCAGATCCCACACAGGCCGCTACAGGGCCCGCCCAGTAGGACTAGGGGTTCTAGGAGGCTCAGGGTCAGTTCCAGGGTCCGTTCTAGGGTCCGTGTCGTTTCAGTAGGCAGTACCAGCAGGCTAGACCCTGGTGCAGTTTGGCGCCAGACCCTGGTACGGTCTGGACGCTGTTTCGTTTTGGGCGCCAGACCAGGTTAGGTGTAGGCCGTTTTAGGCCACCAGCTTAGCACTTGGGCCCCAGTTCATTTGGGCCGCCAATCGCTTGTTAGATCGGACGTCCCTGATTCAATTCAGGGATGGGCAGAGGGCGAACCATCACTATATATAGCTGGTCCGCATATCCATTCGGGAGGTATTCGTTCCGGCGTTCTTCGGGTAGTAGTTGTAGTCGGCGGTAGGTAGGACTGAGTAGTCTTCCAGCGCTGGGCGCTGCGGTAGGTTTCAGTCACAAGCTTGAGCTGCAGTTGCGGCAGCGGGAGTTAGGGAGAGGTTCGGCTATGGACGAAGACATGGGACTTACCTGATGACTTACCTGTGATGCCATCGCTCCAGCTTGTCTTCAGTGCATCCATACCTGCATCAAGCTGACACCTTTGCCAGGTCAGTACCTGACACAGAGAGAGAGATAGCTATTCTCCTCTTCTTCCTCTTCCTCTAGTCCATTGCCCTTCTCCTCCGTCTCCACCGCTCTGGTCTACTTCTTCTTCGACTGTGTGTGTGAGTGTGTGTGTGTGTGTGTGTGTGTGTGAGAGAGAGAGAGAGAGAGAGAGAGACTATGGTGACTTTTGGACTCTTCCCGTTACAGTGACATTGTTGAGCAGCAACATTGGGGGATATATTGGAGACTGGTTTCATCGGGCTATGGTGGCTGATCTTCCCCCTCCTCTTCTCCCTCGTCTCTCCTCCCTGCCTTCGTCTGTGGATGATGTACCAGACTCAGCGCTCCTTCTGTGTATCAGCGCTGAGTCTCTCCCACCTGCATGATGATGATGAGTTGCAGTCAGTCCTGGTATTCCCAGTCTTCCGCTGTGCACTCTTGCATCATCTTTGAGAGCTCGTTTCCTTTTGAGTTTTTGCTTGACTTTTATGACTGGATAATAAAGATTGCAAAAAAACGAAATAGAAGGAACGACCAGGCGCGAAGCAAACATAACCCTGTCTTTGACAAACAAAGCCTAGTAAAGCTGAAGCCGGATCAAATTTGAATCAATTTTTCGCATAGAAAAATTCAAAAAATAATAAAAATGTTGCATAACAAAATAATATGTAGTGTGCTTTATCACAGGGTCTGTCCGGTCTGGATACATAGTTTCAGCTGTTCAGCTCGTCTGTCTGATTCAGGAGTTTCAGTCCGAGTGTATTGTTCCAGCATTCGGGGCTGGTTCAGAGGGCCGTATTTTAGGCCAGGTGTGTTTTTCCTTAGGCTGGACCTCATTTTGGTCCAGCACACATTTTCGTCCCTTCCAGTGGACAGGGGCCTGGACATCCGGTAGGGACCCAGGCAGACCGATGTAGGCCAGGCTCAGGACCAGGATTTGGGCGTGCATCCTGGACCATCGATCGGCATTCCAATCGGACGATCCAGGATGCAGACCTCAGCTGCATCCAGTAGCCCCAACCCCCCACCAGCTTGTTCTATTTATTTGTTTTTCACATCAAAGCGGCCCCATATTTTGGCCATGGGGTCCCCTCGCCGTGCAGCCCAGATTCGCCTGAAATTGGTTGTTCGGGATCCTGAACAACTGCGATTTATTTCATAGGAGCAGATCGATGGAAATCCTCTCTTTGTCTGTTCCAATACAGAACTGTCGCGTGCCTTAAAAAGTGTAGGCATGGCACAGGACCAAGAATCAGGAAAGTGAGGAGAAATGACAATGCAAGGCACCGGCCGATTGAAAAATACCAATCTGATTATCAGACTCTGGACTCGCGACGCACATACATCATCCCACATGAGAGGTGCAAGGAGGGACATGCACGAAAGAAACGCCCCTCCTTGCCACCCGCACATGGGGAGAAGTGCCACAGATGAAGGTGAGGAATGAGACAAATGTGAGAAGGATAACAAGAAGAAGGAAAAGAAGAAAAAGAATCTGCAACTCAATTTATCAGCCTAACGAAAATAATCTCTCTCCCAAGTCCCAAAATAGCCATCAGTCCAAATGTTGAGTCCGAGTCCAGGAGTACTGCTATCGAACTAGCGACCAAGTCTCTGATCTCTCACTCTCAACAGAACAGCAAAAAGGAGGAGGGTATTGAGGGTGGCAAGATAAGAAGAAGAAGAACTCTCTCTCTCTCTCTCTCTCTCTCTCTCTCTCTCTCTCTCTCTCTCGTGTAACAGATGACCAGCAAAAGATGAAGTCCGGAGCTGATGCAGGGCGCAGTGAAGGCCGGGCCCATATCCGTGACGAAGTCCGAGCGATTGCGCGCAAGTGAGGCAGATGATCAAGGCAGAACGACAATTTTATTTTGGTTGGTGAGGCGATAAGTTTATTGATCGTGATTGGATAAGAGTATGAATGTATGTTTTAGTACCACATGTGTACCATGACACCTATAGTGTCAGCTGCTGTGCCTCCTATGACATGCTGGTGTCGAAGATCCCTTTCTCTTTCCAGTCTCCTCCTATGTCTAATGCTAACCTCTACTAGTGCCATCCCTTACTAACACAACTGCCCTCCAGCAGGGCGTCGCCTGGAGTGTGAATTAACACTGTGTCCGCCAACTGACTGGCCCAGCTAAATACTGCTGGGCTGACTGCAATCTCATGCAGCCTGGAGCCAGGGCCGTCCGGTAAAAGTGTTACAGGCTGTGGTGCTGGTCTAGCTATCGGGCCCAAAACGTGCCGACCCTGGGTGCCTACAATATCTTGGGGCTCCCGGATGGTGCAGCAGGGCATGGCTACAGACAAAGCACTGCTCCAGGCCAAAACGTGGTCTGGACTGCAACTCAGCCGTTGGGCCTGAAAATGGCCCAGATGGTTCGGACACGTAAAAATGCCTGTTTGGACAGGACAAAGCCCAAATGACATAATCCCAGACCAGAAGAAACCTGGAACCAACAAAGGTGTTCTGAATACAATTAAAGCTCAGCAACTAAATGAAACCCACAGAAGAACACCACTCGCACGCCATACCTACCCGGAACCCTCCATGAGGTGCAAGTTCTGTCTGTGGCCCTACGGCCGCTCACAAATGACGGTCGTGCAACCCAGGGCCCGATAGATCCGATGTGGGGCCTCTAGGGCCCATGTGGCTGTTAGTGCATGCCACATTTGTGAAGAGGAGCAAAACTGTCTGATGTGCATTGTACTTCGGCTCCATTTCGATTTCCCACAGCCCTCAGCACTCCAAGAGGAGGTGAAGGTGAGGTACTGAGTCAATCACCAGTTCAAGGATTGATTCCGGTTCTGAGAATGTCCAGCCTTTGACTCGACTCTCACTTGCGCAGAAAGAGCATGCATTGAAAGCCTGTTGGACAATATGAACAGCAGTGTTGCTGCTCATCGGTGTGTGTGGGCGAGTAGTCATTCATCTGGAAAGGTAACCAAGCAGTCTTTCTGCGTATGAGTGGTCGCACAGTTCTTTTCTCTCTCTCTGTCTCTGACTCTGTCTCTCTCTCTCTTTCTGTCTCTGTCTGACTGTCTCTCTCTCTCTCTCTCTCTCT